TGCCACTAGAACACCCTTCAGTTCACAGCCCCAACATGTGACAGGGATGGGGGTGAGAGCAATGGCTTGGGAGTGGGAGAGAACCCCTGGTGATTTGGTGACTCAGACATATTGATCATGGATTAAATGTTTGCATACAGCAGAGGTCATTGCTTTTCATAGTTTGTTCTTTGTCTCTTTCTCGGATTTTGTTCTGGTTAACCTGCTACAGAATACCAAACAATAAGCCTACTCACTCAGTGGATCGTCATAGGGAAAACTAGCCCTCTTGGGAGCTGGGGATTTCACAATGAGACATAATAGAGACTAGATATTAGTGACACAGTTGTGTTCAGGGTGGTGTCCTAGTTAGCTTTCTATTATTGTGATAAAACACTCTGACCAAAACCAATATGGGGAGGAAAGATTTATTTGGTTTACAACTCACAGTTCGTCTTCGAGGGAAGTCAAGGCAGAAACTCAGGGAAGGAACCTCGAGGCAGGAACTAAAGCACAGACCACAGAGGAATGCTGCTTACTGGCTTGCTCCTCTGGCCTGTGCTCAGCCTACTTTCTTATACAATACAGGACCACCTGCCCAGGGGTGGCACCACCCACATTGGGCTGGTCACTCCCTTATCACTCAACAATCAAGAAAATGCCTCTCATACAAGGCCACAGGCCAGTCTGATAGAGGAAATTCCCTAATTGAGGTTGCTTCTTCCCAGGTATGTCAAGTTAACTGCCGCTATCCAACACAAGTGGAGTAGAATGGATGGGAATATGTCTTCTTACGTCTTCCACCTCATCACCGTGCTTCTGAGGCCTGGGGAACTGACAGGGAATGGAAATCAGGTCTGTGAGGGAAGAGGAACCTGGCTTTCCAGGCTTGTCTGCTGGTGTCTGACTTCTGGGTGCCTCTCCCATTGTTTGCAGCCTGGCCAGCAGAGGGCAGCAGAAGTCCAGTGCTGAGGTGGACCCATTAGAGGGATGCATGCAGTCAACAGAGCCAGAGAAAGGACTTTGGCCTCAAGTCACATTCCTAGCCTTCCTAGCCAGAGGGATCTACAGGCTCCAAGTACGGTGAGCCACTGGAACCAGGGCTCCATGTTAATGTCCCCGGCCTCAAATCCAGGGGATGTATAGGTATGTAAGAATGATATGAGTTAGTAAAGACAGTATAAGGGACCAGAGGTGGCTGAAGCCAGTACTGTGAGGAGTGTTCACTAGTCCTTCCCAGGATAAAGCTAGAGGGGAAAGAGAAAGCCTGGAGCTGAAGCATGACAAAAGGCAGGCCACAGGTGGATAGGCAGACCCATCTGACTGGGGAGAACCATATGGTTTCTGGAGCAAGAGTGCCTAGATTCAAACCCAGGCTCCTTTGGGTACTAGCTGTATGGCTTTGGACAGGAATTTAAGCGCTCTGTGTCTCAGTTCCTTGTCTGTGAGATGGAGACAGTAATGGTACCATCCCCTGCTCTAGATAGGATGCTAACTGGGTCAGCGTCTCTGAATCACTCCAGGTCATGTGTGGTGCAGAGTAAACACATGGGAATTGCCAGCATGTCCCATCTTCTGTCCTTGATCTTAGCCAAAAGGCAGAGAAGCAATTCAGTCATTGATTTCTGAGGAAGAGATCTGTGTGGGAGACCTAGCTTCCTCTGCATATCCAGATATTAAACTGTGATATGTGAATGTATGCATGAAACTAAAGGGGTCTGCTGGGCATGGTGGCGCATACCTTTAAGCCCAGTACTTGAGAGGGAGAGGCAGGCAGATCTCTGTGAATTCAAGTCTAGCCTGGTCTACATAGTGAGCTCCAGGCCAGCTGGGGCTATTGGGAGACCCTGTCTCAAAAATACCAAAAAACAAACAAAAACTAAAGGGGTCTGAGCAACCTCACAATGAATAGTTGTGTCAGCTACAGTCTATTCACCACTAAGCTCAGCTGCCTTGAACTTTTCAAACCCTTTTACCCTTGAAGTGAATCCTTGAAATTGAATGGGGCCCCCTGCCCCTTTCTATCCCTTACCTCCTTCAGTTGAGCCCCTCCTCACCTTCACCCCTACTCAGGTTGGTCCCCAGGACTCCTGTGCCCTGGGCTGTGGAGTTGGGCTGGGTGGAGCAGCTGGAGAAAGTGCCCTTTGCTTCTTCCTGCTTGCTTCTTGGCTCTCAGAAAATGGTGACTCCCCCTTCTTGCTCTTAGAGGAAATTCAGATGTTCAGCTCTGGTTTCCCAGTGCCAATTTTGGCTCTAAAACAGGACAAGTGGCAGCACCCAGCCCTGAAGTACCAGTGCTGGCCAGTACAACCAAAAGGGGATGCATCTAGCTTTCAAGGCCCTGAGTTTCCCTTATTTCCAATTCTGAAGAGAAGTCAGGGTCATTTTCACATTTCTTCCCTCCCTGAAAGGACTTATTTAAAAATGATTTATTCATTTTATTTGTACAAGTGTTTTGATTGCCTATATGTATACTTGTGTGTGTATAGTGCCCTCAAAGGCCAAAAGAATATGACAGAGCCACCATGGAGGTGCTGAGAATCAAACCCCAGTCCTGTGGAAGAACAGGAAGTGCTCTTAACTCCTGAGCCACCTCTCTAGTCCTCACTTTTATTTTTTGAGGCAGGGTCTTATGTAGCCCAGGCAGGTGTTGAATTCACTATGAATGAATATCTAGTTGTTTTCAGTCTCTCGCAATGTGAGAGCACATGGTCTTATGCACATCTTGTGGAAATTCTTACCTGGGAGTTTGGGTATCTCTCAGCAATCATCAGATGGAAAGATCAGGAAGATGCATTCAAGGAGCCTGGAAAGTCATAGGGGAAAGGTTTTCATCTTTTCTGGCACTAGTCTCTAGATGGAATATAACATGTTCTTCCACTGAGAAATAGGCGTCAAACTCATAGCAGTCAGCAGTGTCTGTGACTCAACTCATATCACTAAGATATCTCGAAATGTCACTTACCTGCATTCCTTCTTTTGCTACTGTTGAAGGCAGTTGTCATTAAATGTGGTTTTATCATATATTAATAAAGGAGCATACACATGTGGCACACATTTGGTTTTCAAAATATTTGGTACCTGCATTTCAGTGTCATGGCTTTGGGGTTTCTGTGATAGAAATAGAGATTATTTATTAAGAAAGAGCAGGAAAGAGTTGGTGAGATGGTTCAGTGGTAAAAGTGCTTGCCACACAAGCTTAATGACCTGAGTTTGAGCCCCAGAACCCGCATGAAGTGGAAGGAGAAAACGAATGCCACAAAGTTGTCCTCTGACTACCACACACATGCCATGGTACACACGGGTCCACAGGTACACAGAATGAACAGACAGATACGGACACAGACAAATACACAGACAAACACACATATGCACACCCCGATAACAATAATAAAATGAATTGGGGGAGGGAGGATGAAGAGAAGAGAAAGGTACTTCCGAGAATGGAAGAGGGCTAGCAAATCCTGCTTTACTTTTTAACTGTGTTATATTGTGGTGAACTATCTTGGCTGTTGGTTCAGCATTCTGTGGTATAAATGTGTTCAGATTGTTCTGTAGCTGTCACCACCATCTGTCACCACAACTTCTTCATCTTCCCAGCCCAAAGTACTGCATTTATTAATCAACTCATTCCTTCTGTCTCCAGCCCTAGCAAACGCCATACTTCCTGTTTCTATCATTTTGACTACTCCCCGTGCCTCTCCTGAGTGGAACCACATAGTATGTGGCTTAATTCATTTAGCACAGTGTCTTCAAGGTTCACCTTCAAGCAATTGGCTTTTTTCACTTAATGTCTTTAAGGCTACCTATGTAAACAATGTGTCAGAATTTCATTTCTTTGTGTGTAGCTATGTGTGGTGTCCCTGGTTATGCCAATGTGTGTGCCTGTGTATAGAGGCCAGAGGCCAACCTTGGGTATTGTTCCTCAGGACCCAACCACGTTGTTTTTTGAGATAGGTCTGTCACTGAGACCTGGAATTTACTGAATTGTCTAGGCTGACCAGAGAGTTCCAAGAGTACCTGTCTCCACCTCCCCAGTGCTAGAATTATAAACATGTGCCATTACACCCAGCTTTTAACATGAGTGCTAGGGATCAAATTCAGATGCCAACTCATTTTGCCAACTGAACCATCTCCCAGTCCTAGAATTTAATTTCCTTTTAAAGATAAAAAACATTCCATTATATTTATATGCTACATTTTATTTATTCCTTCAAGCATTGATGGGCATTTAGTTGTTTCTGCTTCTGTTTATTGTGAATATTGCTATGAACATTGGTGTACACATGTCTACTTTCTCAACTTATTTTTTGAGGCAGGGTCTTGCTAAGTAGTCCAGACTGGCCTGCGACTCTCCATCTTCTTGCTTCAACATCCCGTGTACTGGGCTTACAGACATTCGTCACCATATCAAACTTACTTTCTCAGCTCTTTTACTTATATACCTAGAAATGGAATTAGTGGATCTTGTAGGGATTCTGGTTTTGCTTTTGTTTTTTTAAGGAATACACACTTTTTATGAGACAAAAATATGATTCTGTGTGTCCCAGTGTGATGGCACACGCCTGTAATCCTAGCACTTGGGAGATGAAGGCAGGAAGATCAGGAGCTCAAGGTCATCCTGAACTATGAGACTGTTTTAACACAGCAAAAGATCGAGGTTCACTTTCACAGGAAACTTTATTTTGCATGCCTGTGTCGGCCACTAAGTGCAGACTTCCCACAGGGGTTGTGCTAAGGAGTTAGGCCTGAGGGTGACCATTTAAAGACACCTCTTTCTTAACTGTGCGGCTTCTTAACTGTGTGTCTTGGGATAAGATAATCACCTTTGTCCCGCTTCCTCTCCAGAAAATTCAGACCCATAGCCATCAAGAACAGGGTTAGGCCAGGCTTGGTCAACCAGCACTCAGGAACTTTGCTCCTATGACCAGGGTGGAGCGGGTCGTCAGTGCAGAGCGAGTGCGGTCCTCCAGGCCGGTTGGTGGCGCTAGCGGGCCGGGCTGGCAGAGGGCAGCAACGCTCGGCCCGCTCCTCTCCGCATCCCCGGGGAGTGGACTCGGCGGCTGCTCCGTGTCGCCGGAGCCGGAGCGCGCAGGCCCGTCCCGGCGGCACGGGGAGGGGTGGCGGGGACGCCATGTGGTTCATGTACGTGCTGAGCTGGCTGTCGCTGTTCATCCAGGTGTCCTTCATCACGCTGGCTGTCGGTGAGAGCCCTGCCCCGGCCCCCCGAGACCCACTGCCCGGCCCAGCCCGGGTCAGCCAAACGCTGCAGCTGGGCTCGGGCACTGCGCCTGTGCTCCTGCTGGACCTCAACTGAGCTCTCACCTGAGGGATGCATGGCTCTGAAGGAGCATTCTCTTCCCCACTCCCATACCGTGAACACCCCCATCCCCCACACCCCCAGCGCGCCTGTTCCCACCACGGGTTTCCTGCCCGGGCAGGGAAGGGGCCCATGTCTGTTCCACTCTGCTGTGTTTTAGCACACGGCGCCTAGTCGGTGCTAAGTGTCCTGCAGGTATTGATTGAATGACTGAAGTTTAAGGTTTCTGGGCCAGAGGTTAGCCTTGTGCGGTAGAGTCAAATCCGATCTCTCCATAGTTGTCTTGGCAGAGTTCTACTTCACCAGATTTGGAAGGGCAACTCCGGTCTTGCTTAGTTTGTCCTTTACTTTAGGGAGTCTAGGGAGGGTTGGTGGGGACCCGGCTCTCAGCCGGATAAGCAAGCCGGTGGGAGTTACCCTGGCTGATCTTTTCCTGCTTGTTCCCTCCTGACCAACTTGCCAGCCGCTGGACTCTACTACCTGGCAGAACTGATAGAAGAGTATACGGTGGCCACCAGCAGAATCATCAAGTACATGATTTGGGTAAGTGACAGCTTGCCTTGGCGGTCACCCAGGGCGTGCCTGGCCTCAGAAGTAGGAAGTGAGGATGACCTGGATGTTGAGATCCCAGGCCCTGCTGTTTGTTCCGCCTTATACCTTGTACCCTGACTTTTAAGTCAGCCCTCCTGCATTTATTTCTCCACTGACTGCCTTCCTCTGTGGCATTGTTTCACAGCAGACCACCATTCCTTAAGGTGACAGCAGGGGTATTCCATTGACAAGACCGTGGCTTTGCCTTCACATGGCTGTCTCCCAAAGTCTCTGACCCCTGCTTGGTTTTGCCCCCAGCATTTTGAATTTAGACCTTAAGGGCAGTTTTTTAATGCTTTTTTGTAGCCCTCTTTCAGAAGGAGCGGGCCCATTCACCCTGGCCCTGACTCCAGCCTCATTGGGAGGCTTCCTGAAGACTTGGTCCCTGCTGTTCATGACTAGACAGATTCCTCCAAGAGCTATGGGGAAGGCTGGTGATCAGGTGGGAGTGTGTTTGAACAGGAAAAGTTCTTTGCAATAAAATTCACCTGCTGTCTGCAGCTGCTTTCACTTTGAGCATAGCCTGAGGTTGTAGTTTGTGATGGAGACTAGATTCAGAGGCTTTGCCTGTGGGTGTGGCTGGTACAGCAATTTGACATTCTTTCATCACTGATAATTGAAACCTTTCTCAAACTGCAGGCTGAATTAATTACTGACTGAGTTGTATAATTGATTCAGTAGGTCATGTTCAGCATACAAAAAAAAGAAAAAGGAAAAGGGGGGTGGGGTAAAACTCAGTGGCAGAGGTATGGCTAGCATGCATGTGGCCTTTGGTTTGATCCCCAGCTCCAAAAATTATAATTACAGAGACTAGAAAAGACTAGAATAGAGTTTGAACTCTTCAACACATATGGATATGTGTATTAGAATTGCTATGTATAATTATTTTTTTCCTTACTGTGTATTACTGTCAGAAATCTTTGAAGAATAACCTTAAAAGATGCCACTTTGGGAGTTATGTCTAGCAGGGGAGGTCTGTGACTATGAACCAAAGAGACCAAAGTGTGGATGTAATGCTGCCCAGAGTAGGCTGGGACTAGGAGTCCAGGCAGATGGCCTGGAGGTTCCCTGCACTGAGCGCCTCTGCCTGTTTCAGTTCTCCACGGCAGTGCTGATCGGCCTCTACATCTTTGAGCGCTTCCCCACCAGCATGATTGGCGTGGGCCTCTTCACCAATCTTGTCTACTTTGGCCTCCTCCAGACCTTCCCCTTCATCATGCTGACTTCACCTAATTTCATCCTGTCATGCGGTGAGAGGGGATATCGGGGAGGACTTGACATGGTTGGATGTGGGCAGCTCTTTCCCAGGCCCCGGAGGGGATACTGAGTTCCTCCAAGAGGCCAGACTGCTTAAGAAAACTGGCTTCTCACTCCTAAGGACTGTAGAGCCTGCCTCAGACTAGGGTCTGGTCCTCATTGGGTGAGAGGCTCAAGCTAGGTGGTCCTTCCCAAAGAGGGAAGTTTGAAGGAAGGTTTGGGAAGGGAGAGGAGGCTGTGGGTTGGCGGAGGATATACTCCAGGTTGAGTAGTTCTCACCTTTAAGACGCTACTTGGTCTGAAAAGCCTGTAGCCTATCCTTGGCAGGTAGACAGCTTCCCATCTGGTTCACTGGCCCCAAATCACAGAGGCGATGAGACTGGGAGCTCCCTTTCTTCACCTCATTCTCAGCAGTTCCCAAGGGCACAGGCTTTGACCCCAGCCCTCTTGCTTTGGCATAGAGAGAAGACTAGCCTTAGCTCTAAATGCTCTGCCCTCCTGTGGATAATAATTCAGATTTTTCTCTTGACACAGGAATGTAACTCTAAAACACACCTTACACCACCTGCCATCCTGATTCTGGCAAGGGCAACAAGCACAGTCTCTGTGACTAATCACTTTCCAAAACCTTTCTCATGAATATCTGGGCACATCTGTGATCAGCACCATGGGCCAACTGAGTCCATTGGATAGAGTAGGTGGAGCCCAAATGGGGAACCAACTTCCCATAGGAGGGCAGAACATTAGAGCTGATGCTATCCCTCTCTCTATGCCTAGTGTGATTTTGCCTCGGAATTTGTTCAGCAGGAGTTTATGTACGAGCGCTTCGCTGGAGGTCAGGCCCCTTGTGTGTCTTCTCAGGAAGGAGCTCCTGCCACCAGCAGTCTTCCCTGGCTTATGTCACTCCCCTGGCTTGCCCTTTGGATGCCTGAGTTTTTCTGAGGGACCTTGTAGGCACCAGGCACCATTTCCCCCTCAGTGTTCCTTAGCCTTAGCATGTGGCATAGCAGAGCTGCCATTGTCACTGAAAAATGGATGTGAGACAGAAGAAAAGAGATATGGTATTCATTGTGGGGTGGGGATGAGGGGACATGGTCTTTCTGGTATGTGCCCTTCACCTCTCGGAGCAGCTGTCTCCAGGGTCAGCTTGTTCAGTTGCTCTTTTTCATAAGCTTATGAACCCTAAGGAGGAGTATATGGGCCAGAGCATTCCAGTGCAGACTGGAGTAACACTGCTCCCTGCCCCGCCTCCAACCTTCTGAGTAACCTTGACTATATTCCATCTCTGTTTGAGGAGGCCTTCTCTGTGCTGCAGTGTGGAATCCACTGGGGTTTCTGCTCTGCCCACCCCATGACCTCCTGCCATCTCCTGCCCATGGGATAGTACCTGCATGATGCCATGGATTATGTAACACAGAACTTGTTTTTATAACATGGCAGAACATTCCAGCCCCACCTTCTGATTTTATTCCTACTGCCCTGAACAGTGGGAAGTTTGGGCTAAGCCCCCATTCTTGACAGATGGGGACAGTTCTAGAGACAGCATGCACTTGGTCCAAAGCCAGGCTCTGAATTGGTGCAGAGTCAGGACTGAGACCCAGGGCTCCAGTCAAGGGCCTTCTGGGGTTGGTTAGCATGCCTGACTCTCCTGATGACCAACTCTTCATCCCCACAGGACTAGTGGTGGTGAATCATTACCTGGCGTTTCAGTTTTTTGCAGAAGAATATTATCCTTTCTCTGAGGTAAGGTGTGCCCAGTGTCTAGCACCATGGATGGTGGCAGAGAAAGAGAAGTAAAGGGAACTGTATGATCTACTTTGTGAACATAGCTGTGATCCAAAACTGACTCTACTCAGGATTCATGCATTTTTGAAAACAAAGCATAATAATGATTTTTGAAAGCAGGGTGGCCTAGGACCAAAAGGGATCCCTTGACTGAGTGGGGAGGACACTGCCCTCCCCCACTGAGTCCTTTGGGTGCCCCAACAGGATCACCCTCAAATCCAGAGGGAGCACCAGGCTGGCCTGTGTGACCCACACTTCACAGCAAGGCTGGGCTGCAGCACCCTGTCCCAGCTCTCCCAGGGCCTGCCACTGGTCCTTCCTTCCTAGGATTCCTTCGGTTTGATGGCCCAGGGATGAACAAGGTCACTTTGAGGAGAGCCTCATTCAATCACAGCCAGCCTCCCTCTTCCCCCTGCATGGTCTCCATGTCTCAGAACTTCCTGCTTCCTGGGCACTAGCCCATGCAAGAATGGGGCAGGCCTTTGGAGCACCCCTGTGGATTTCCCTTCTCAGTTTCTCCTGTCACCAGGTCCTGGCCTACTTCACATTCTGCCTGTGGATAATCCCATTTGCATTCTTCGTGTCACTTTCAGCTGGAGAGAATGTCCTGCCCTCTACCATGCAGCCAGGAGGTGAGGAGGGGCTGGTTAGGTCAGGTGGGGGCACTGGTACCTAGCCCTGTGACATCGGGGCTCTGGACGATTAGCATTGTGTCCATGCACACAGGTGCATACACACTCTCATATCCCTGCCTATGTCTCCACAGATGATGTGGTCTCCAATTACTTCACCAAAGGCAAGCGCAGCAAACGCTTAGGAATCCTGGTTATCTTCTCCTTCATCAAAGAGGCCATCCTACCCAGTCGTCAGAAGATATACTGACCCTGTGGGGAGGGATGTGGGGGCAAGACCAGCAGAGCCAGACCCTTGGGCCTCTGGGCTAGTGGTGCCCAGGAGCCTGGAGGGTACCTTCTGCCAGTCCAGCCCCATCCCCACCCTCCTCGGAGGGTTGAGGGGCACGGGCTCGGATACTGCCAGGGGCGCCAGGGAGGGTAGCAGAGCCTGCTTCCAGGAGGCCATGTCCCCAGCCCTCTCCTCCCTAGGGTTGGGAGGGTCTGGCTTAGGGCAGGCATGGCAGGGTCTTTGAAGCTGGGGAACAGCCACTGACAAGTTCTTCTGGCAGATGGCCGTAGGGAGGGGCTGAGGCTTGGCACTTCCAGGAGAAGTGGATTTTGCTGTTGAAATGTGATTTTTGTCCAATACCGATTCCCGTTTGAATAAAGAGTCTAGGTGGCACTGTTTGCCTTAACACCCCAGAGGTGCATCCTCCTCTCTGCCTCCTAACCTTCTGCCTAGACTGGGCTAGCCTTCTGCTCTAGGGACTCCTCTTTTGGGTCTTGCCAATCTGAAGAGATTCTTGTGGCCCTAGGTGGGAAGGGAACAGATGAGGAGAGGGCAGAGGCACCTTTCTTAGGCTTCTCCCTCTTCTGCCTCTCCTTTCCCCGAGGCTCTGTGATTGTGGAGAGGGGAAGGAGCAAAGACAGTTTAGGACTGGGTTAGGATCGCAGAACAACATCTACAATATCCCTATTTATAAGTCTTTTTCTGAGAAAGTGGAGAGGTTTTTTGGTAAATTCTATCTCAGGCTCAAAGGAAGAAAAAAAAAAAAAAAAGGCTAGGCAGCCTGGGCTGTGGTCTGTTTCATAAGAAATGGGATTGGAAGAGCCTGGCACTTAACCTGTGTGCCCCTTGCTCCTGAAGGGATGTGAGCTCTGCCTTCTAGGAAGGTCTTGGGCACAGACCAGCAATTGTTGACCTTGCACTCCAATTACAGTGCCTTGCAAGGGCTCAACAGTACCTACTGGAATGAAGTCCCCATGAGAGCCACCACTGGCCATGTTCTATACCTCACAGTGAAGCTGGCAGGTGCAGAGATGGACAGCCATGGGAAAGACCATGTGTGAACTGCTTCCTCTGTCTATGCCCAGAGTCCTACTAGCATCTCTCATCTCATTGATTTCTGTTGAGTCTCATCTACCTTTCCCTAAATTTTGCTCTTTGGCTCCAAGTGAGATTGCCAGGCCCATTCCTGTCATATGGGCTGCTGAAGGTATAGGACACAAGGCTGGTGTCTCTCCAGTGGGCTGACGGTGGCTCCAGTTGGCCTTGCTGTCTGCTTCTTTGTCTGTTTACTTGCTGGTCAGTGCTTGGCCAGGGGCAGTTAGGGTCCTTCCCAGGCTAAACCCAGCAGAGTTGTACTTGTAACCTAGTGGCTCTTGGGGTGGTTGACACAGCTGATCACCCCTGCTTCTTGACTCAAGCTTCCCTGGCACTTCTGTGGCTGGTTGTCCTGCTACCTCTCTGTCCTTTAGTCTCTGTGCACACTGGGGCTCCTCGGCTCTGTTCTAGTGGCTTCAGGGATACTCTGGAGGAAGCCAAGGCTGACCTCCAGCCCAGCTCCTTCCTGCCTTCTGAGTCACAATTCTGCCGCCTTCTGGGCACACAGATAACTTGAGCTCAGCACCTGTTGCCATCCTCTGCACATCTGCTCTTTCTAGTACCTGCCCTGGTCCCAAGATGGCCCGTGAGCCAGGCAGGAAGTTTGCGATTTGAGCCGCTCCCACTGCCATCTTCATTCTTTATTGTGACAGTCTTCTGTGTTGCTCTGTCCTATGGTCAGCTGGGGTTTTTCTAAAATGCATAGCTGACCAAGTCACTTCTGGCCCCAAACTTCCTTTGCTCCCCACTGCCCTCAGGATTTATCCAGACCCGTTAGCATGGCATATGAGGCTCCTGGTGCCCTGGTCCCTCCTGGCCTCATCATTTGCCTTGTGCTCTGGGCCCCAGCCTCTGGTATGCAGAGACCATGGCTGTCTTGCCACTTTGATACCTGTTCTTCTATGACTTTGGTACTTTGCCAGATCTCGACTTAGATTTTATTTCTTCCAAGGAGCTTTGAATGTCCCCTCTCCTCTTCCAGTACCACCCAGCACGCCACACATCTTGGGCTCACTGGCCTGAAGTATGGTCTGTCTCCCCACTAGACTGGAAGCTCCTTGAGGGCAGGGACAGCCCTTGAATTTTTGTATCAACTGTCTGGTTTGGCACCTGGCCCATGGAAAGCACTCAATAAATGTTTGTTTAATGAGCAAGCTGTGGTATGTAGTAAGGGACCAGTGGGGTTCAGGATGGCTTCCTGGAGAGATCACACATCAAAACCACAGAGCCTCCCTTGCCAGAAGTGCTGCCCAGCCTCCTGGAACTGTAGCTATGGACACCTCAGTGGGCTTGGGCTCAAGGGGCAGCAGCACACAGGGAAGTTTGCCAAGTCTCATACTAGTTGTGCCCCACCCAGTCAGGGTCTGCAACAAACCGGAGTAAGGTCTGAGCCCACCACAGAAGACTCAGAACAGTGGCAGAATTCCTGGAGGCCTCCTGTCCTGGAAGCCTTGTCCCTGATGTGCTGGGGTAGGTTAAGAGAGGACAGTGGGGACCTGAATGTCACTTTTACTTGTGAATCAGGATAGGTACTGACCCTCTACTCTGAACCTTGGACTCTGCCCTGATATGGACTTCCCAAGGAGCCAGGCAGTTTCTCTCTAGGAGAAGGGAAGCCTGGGAGCTGTGCTTTTAGGGCGGAAGGATGAGAAGGATACTTGCTTTTGAGTGTGGGAATGGGACTCTCATCTAGCCCTTCCCCACTCCTCTCCACCACAGCATGAATCTTCATACATCAGCCTTTTCTGGGAGGTTTTCAAACCAGCTTTATGTGAGAACTCTCTTGGAGGGCAGTGCCTTCAGAACCCCAGCCCTGCTAACTTCCACAACTGCCAGGAAGGGTTTACCAAATGTCTCACGCAGGCTCATGGCCATTGTGTGGGTCCACGAGTCACCCAAATGCTGCTTCTGAGGCATGTTGAGGATGCTGAGGGGATACAAGCCCTGGGGCACTTTCATCCTGTAGGATTGCATCCCTGGGTACGGCACCCGGATCATCACCTCGAAAGGCACCTGGGGTACAGGTGTCACCCAGTGGCCATTCACTGTGTGCAGACACGTACCCCCAAATGAATTCTGAGTCATGTCGAGGAATCTTTGGAAGTCATGCTCCTGATGGGGGTCGGGGTGCATGCCCAGGCGGATACCCTGTGGGCAGCCAATCTTTGTGGTCAGAGATGAGGTGGGGTTATTGCTAAGATTCCACAATTTGGGCCAACTGATGGTGGGCTGTTTGTGGATGGGCTTGGGTGGCACCACAGGCTGGGGCAAGCTTTTCAGTTGAGCTTCCACAGAGGGATGGAAGCTCCTGGAAATACGGGACCCTACAGTGTTGGAGAGGGCCAAGAACCAAGGTCCAGTACCCAACCTCTTGCTTAGAATCAGCAGAGGCCAGGGTGTGGCACTGGGACAGCAGCTTGCCTTGGAGCCACTTTCTGAAATCAGCCTCTCTCAGATTTCTTTGTTCTTTCTGCAACAACGGAGGGCACAGGGCAATGGCGGGTCTGCCCCTGCACTTATGGACAGGAGACCTTGTGGCTCTCTGAGAAACTCAGGCCTAATAGGCCAGATCTTGCCTTGTGTAAACTTTGTTCTGATGGAGACATCCTTTGTCCAGATTGAGCTCCCAGGCTGCTGAAGAGACAGCCTCTCTCATAGGGGACCTCCATTTTGAGGAGGGGAAACAAATCCCCTCCCTAGGGGCAATCTCAAGGCTTGCAGAGAAAAAGTCCCATTCCTTCACAGCCTCCCCGAGAGCTACCCCCAGCCTGATATAGAGACAGTCCTGCCCTCAGGTAGCCCTGGGTTGACAGAGAAAAGACAAATGGGAAGTCCTGGAAGGAGAACATAGGAAGGACTGGAAGGCCTAGCATTGGGTGGAGTTAAGCTGGATGGGCTTAACTGGATGGAAAGTTACAGGGGAGGACAGAGTGTCTAGCTCCCAGGCTGGGCGGTGAGGACTCAATGAAGTTCTGTCCTACCATCACAGGCACTGAACCTTCCCTTGGGAACTTCCTATCCCTCTTACAGTCTCAGTGCCTCACGTCTACATGGTTGCTAAGCGATCAAATGTGCTTGAGAGATTGACCCAGGTCCTATTTAGGCTAAGCCAGGAGTCCTAATTCCATCAGCCTTGCCCCAGGCCCAAGTCAGGTAGCATCTGGCTTGCTTTTAGTTCTACTCATTGAGACAGGAGTGGTCGCATGATCCAACTGAGGTCAACATGAGTCCTGGAATGGAAATCTGCAGGATGCTGCTGGGTAGGGTTATGGTCACAGGATGCCTGGTGACTGTGAGGGCTGAGTGATTTGGACAACTAGGGCTCTATGGAGAGAAGTGCAATTGGGACAGGGGAGGAGGGGTGAACAATGGCAGAGCCCTTTTGGGTTCACTTAAGATTCCAAGCATCTTTCCATTTCCTGTTTTGTTTTGATGGTTTATACCTTGTGGTTACACTTGCTTAAACACTGCCCATCCCCGGATCCAAGCCAAAGTCCTTCACTGCCCCTTGTAAACATTTAGCTTGTCAATCTCCAGTTCACACCTGATCCCCCATTTGACTGCTGTTTTCTGCATCCATGATGCTCCTGTGTGCCCCATGCTTTCCACACAGCAGTTCTCTCTGTGGGTCAGCCCTTCCTTCTTCCATATGGACAGATGTCTATTCATCTTCAGAGACACCTTGGCATTCCTTCAGGCATTGTCCTGGACCAGCCCCTCTAGCCTCTCCCTAGCATCTAAGCTCCTTGAGTGGGGACCACACCTGAGTAGTTTTGGGGGCCTTCAGGGCCTAGCAGGTGCCTAGTGCACAGTGAGGACAAAGGTGTCTGTTGAGAGAAAGAACGAGTTTTCTTTTTTTTTTTTTTTTTTTTGAGACAGGGTCTCCTTGTAGCCCCAGCTGTCCTGGAACTCACTATGTAGGCCAGGCTGCCCTTGAACTCACAGAGATCCACCTGCCACTGCCTCCCAAGTGCTGGGATTAAAGGCGTGCACCACCACACCTGGCAGGAGTTTTGTTTTTAACCAGAGTGGAAGTCCCAATGATAGGCAGTATCCAGTCCCATTGGAAATCCTCATCTTGGAGGGATGGGGCCCCAGGAGGGCCCTGAATGCTCCATAGTTTAGGTTGCTTTCTGCATAGGACAAGAATTTTGATCCAGAGTGCTTTATAAGAGAGGATTTAGGGAGTGGGGCTCCTTCTGTGTGGGAGTGTTCCAGCTACTCCTCTCTCCAAGACAAGGAAGGCCCTGCCTAGCAGCAGGGCCCAGTCCTATGGGCCCTCCTCCTTACTTGAGACTCAGGTAGTGGTACTCCAAGATAACCAGCTTTTCTTGAGGCTCTGCAGTTTCCCCATCTCTCGGGCAAAGTCCTTCTTGTCCTGTTTCCACATGGCATCCTTCAAGAACCTGGTACCAAGGAAAGGATATGTTATCTCACAGTGAGCTTCTCCCGGGTGGAGTGCCAAGGGCCAGGGTTGGGTGAGAGAAACTGCCAGAGCAGGGAAGGCAAGACACCCCAATTCCACTGCTCAGGGGCCCTTTGGAGGGGGAAGAAGAAAGTGTCTGATGGGCTGGGATCCTTTCTGCTTGGGCACTTTTCATAGCACAGGATGCTCAAGAGCCAGGGGGCCCAGGACAAGGAAGGAGGGCAGTGTTCAACCTGAAGGAGTGGCACCACCCAGCAAAACTCATGCTGACAATATACTGCATAGAGCCTCTTTCCTGGACTTATCCTCCTGCCACCTGGCTTCCCCAGCCCTCCCCCTCAGAGGCTCAGCTCTGGGGAAAGGCCTTGCTGGGAGGGAGCAGCAGCCAGGATGGTTTTTGCAGGCTCACCTGGCACAGGTGTGGTGGTTCCATATTTTGCAGTAATCGATGGGCTTGTAGCCCATGGCATCTCGGGTGTGGACATTGGCTCCACTCTGCACCAGGACTTTCATACAGCCCAGCAGACCATCACAGGTGGCCAGGTGCAGGGGTGTGGAGCCATTGCATGTCTGGCTATGGGGTCCACCATGAGGAAAGGGACAGAAGGGAAGGGCATCAGATAAGCAAGCAAATCAGCTTCCAGGGCCCACTCTGCCACCACCCAGGGCCGTGTCCTTTCTCCTCTTTGGTTCTCAAGTTCCTCTTCTCTAAAAAAAGAGATTGGACCACATGAACAGTAAAGATCTATTAGAGATGTACAAATGGTACCATTAAGACCTACTGGAAGGAGAGCTGAGCTGGTTCAGAGCTACTGATCTTGTTCACTTTTGTTTGTTTTTTGGTCTTTTTGAGACAGGGTCTCTCTGTAGCCCCAGCTGTCCTGAAACTCACTATGTAGACCAGTCTGGCCTTGAACTCACAGAGATCCACCTGCCTCTGCCTCTGGAGTGCTGGGATTAAAGGCATGTGCCACCATGCCCAGCCCTTTTGTTTGTTTTTTTAGACAGAGTCTCTTGTAGTCCAGGCTGATCTTGAATTTGTTATGTACCCAAGGATAATATTGAACTCCTGATCCTCCAATCTTCATCTCCTGAGTGCTGGGATTACAGATATGTACCACCAAGCCTGGCTCCTTCCTGAATTTTGGAAAGGTTGGCTCACTTGGTCCTCAGGTTGAAATTAATTTTATGTGCGTAGTGTGCATGTGTGTATATGTGTGTTTGTTGTGCCCAGTTTGCGAGACCCCAAAGACCACCAAGGAGCCGACCGATGCAAATATACAAGGGTTCTTTTATTGTTACAAGCTTAAGCTTGAGCCCACTTTGTCACTGACTCAGTGGATCTCAGATGTGAGACCCCTTGCTTTGAAAGACAGAGTTTTTTTATAGGTTTATTTCAGCAAGTTCAGCAAGTAGGGGAGTAGGGGGTCTCCAGCCTGGCAAGCATCTGATTGGTTGTAGCCCAAACCATAAACTGCTGGCTTCAGGAAATCTGAAAAGACATCTGGACTTTTAGTACTTTCCTGTCCCTGGTTAATTGACCATTGGTGGGGGAGTTGTCCTCTATCCGTTCCAAGTATTATGGTTTTTCTTGGAACAGGGCTCAGGGCTGGGTCAGTCCCATGGAGGTTTTATCCAAGATGGAGTCACTCAGGTCTCTCATTCCCCACTCTGACTGGTACCTTGGGGGCCCAATCATGGGCGCTCCCTCATTTTATGTTTTTTATCACCCAGACTCTGGAGGGACTGATAGTGGGTTTGCATTATCATTAGCTGTATAGCTCTTAGCCACTCTTTTATAAAAGCTACCAGTTTATTTAAAATGCAAGGTCCAAAAGTCAAGAGCATAATCAGAATGATAAGGTTGAAATCAAAGTGGTCAACCAAGGGGAGCTATTGAACCAGGATTCAAACCATCCTTGTTTAGCCCTATATTCGTTCTCTCTTTGAACCAGACTTTCTCTAACCTTGGCCAGGGATTCTTTGATAACCCCAGAGTGATCTACATAAAAACAACTACATAAAAAACTACATAAAAAACTCTTCCTTAAGGGCAGCACAGAGGCCTCCCTGCTCCAAGAACAACAGGTCTAGGCCTCTCCTAGTCTGCCGAACCATTTCTGCCAAGGAGGTTGGGAATAATGGGAGGGGGCACTCCAAACATGATCTCAAATGGGGTTAATCCCATCTGGCAAGGGGAGTTACACACTCGATAGAGTGCGAATGGAAGGAGAGTCACCCAGTCACCGCCAGTCTCTAAGGTTAATTTAGTTAAGGTCTCTTTTAGAGTTTTATTCATTCTCTCTACCTGTCCTGAACTCTGGGGTCTATAAGCACAGTGTAGTTTCCAACCAATCCCCAGAACTGTGGCCAGACTCTGACTTACCTTGGACACAAAAGCCGGTCCATTATCTGACCCTATCATCTGTGGAAAGCCATACCTGGGGAGGATGTCCTCCAACAGTTTCTTTGCCACCATTTGAGCTGTTTCATGTTTAGAAGGGAAGGCTTCAGTCCATCCTGAGAAAGTATCTACAAAGACTAGCAAATAACGGTATCCGTACCTGTCAGGTTTTACCTCAGTGAAATCCATTTCCCAATAGGCTCCAGGTCCTCCCTTGAAGTCTGATTCCTGGGTTTCTAATATTTGGCACCACATTAGTGAGTTGGCAAGCTTTCATCCTCTTGAAGAACAATGTCTTTTTGCCAACATTTGTTTTTTTTTTTTTTAATTTTTTTTGGGAGGATCAGCTTTTCTTCTGCTGATCTCCATCATTCTTTCAGACATTGGGTCCTCGGCAGTCCCTTTATTCATTTTGGGTCCTCCCTGGTGTATTTGGGCTTTTCAGGGAGGTTTGGGTCACCTGGGTCAGTTAGTGTGGTGACCAAGATTGGGTCAATTTGGAGGGCAGCTTGTTTAGCCTCCTGATCCCCTCGATTGTTTCTTTGGGAAATTGGATCGTCTCCTTTTTGATGACCTGGGCAGTGGATAATTGCCAATTTCTTTGGCAGCCAGAGAGCCCTCAGCAATGTTAGGATTTTTTTTTAATTTTATTTTTGACAGCCTTTTTCTCTGCCGTTAATAAGCCCCATGAATGTGCGTGGTGGCAAAGGCATATCAGCTGTCTGTATACATATTAAGCTTTTTGTCCTTTCCTAATACCAGCACCTTAGTTAGGGCAATAAGTTCAGCCTTTTGGGCCGAAGTGCCAGTGTGCAGAGGCTCTGCCCAAATGATGCTGGTTAATGATACTACAGCTGCCCCTGCATACCTCTGCCATCCTGGACAAAGCTGCTCCCGTCAGTGAACCAGGTTACTTCAGCATCAGATAATGGGGTGTCTCTCAAATCTGATTGGGTACCGTGGACATGGGCCAGGATTCTGGCACAATCATGCAGGGGGGCATCCAAGTCTGGGTCTAGCAAGAGTGTGGCTGGATTCAGGGCAACTGGTACCTGAAAGGTGATTCTAGCAGGATTAAGAAGTAATGCTTGATAATGAGTTATATGGGTGTTACTTAGCCATCTGTTGGGGGGCTGCTTTAAAACTCCTTTAATTGCATGTGGTGTGGTGACGGTCAAGTTCTGGCCCAAAGTCAGTTTGTCAGCATCTTTTACCAGTAGTGCTTCTTTGAGTATATAGCCCAAGTATTGGACCTGTTATTTGTATAGTTGGGCCTTTTTAGCAGAGGCCCGATAGCCCAGGCTTCCCAACATCTGCAACAGGCATTCTGTGCTGTCCATGCAAGCCTCTTGGCTGTCTGCCGCCACAAGTAGGTCATCCACATACTGTAAGAGACTCCTTTCCCCAATGCTATCTGTCTCAGATGCCTCCGCTGATCCTGTGGATCCACAGTGGCAGCCAGCAGGATCCTTGCCAGGTCCTTGTTCTGCCTTTTTTCTGCCTTTATCTGTTTTTTTTGTGTTTGTTTCTGCACTATCCCTATTATTGTACACTTTCTCGGCCATAGTTATTAAATCCCTTAAGCTCTTTTCACTCAGTCGCTCCACTCTTTGGAGTTTTTCTTTATGTCTGGAGCCGACTGGTTAACAAAAGCCATGGCCACTGTCACTATATTATCTTTGGCCTCTGGGTCTAACGGAGTGTACCTGCGGAAGGCATCCGTTATTCACTCCAAGAACGCAGCTGGGCTTTCATTCAGTTCCTGACTAATATCGTATACCTGTGCCAAATTAGTTGGCCTATGAACAGCTGCTTTGAGATCTGCCAGTAGAGCCTGGTGGTAAACCAGAAGCCTCCCCTTACCTTCTACAGTATTATAATCCCAATCAGGCCGGGTCAGTGGATAGGCAGCATCAATCAGTGTCAGGTCAGTAGTAGGGATACCAGTATTGCCAGGAATTTATTTCCTGGCTTCTGTTTGGATGTGTTCTCTTTCCTCTGTGGTAAACAGGACCTGCAATAATTGATGACAATCATCCCAAGTGGGTTGGTGTGTGAATAAGGCAGTTTCTAATAAATTAATAAGCTCCTTAGGATTTTCAGAAGAGGGAGCATTCTGGATTCTCCAGTTGTAAAGGTCAGTAGTGGCAAATGGCCAATAGTGATGGGGCTGGTTGCCAGCCTCATCTGCAGGGCGGCAACTCTGAAAGGTAAAACAGTAGAGTCTGGACCCTCCGGTGTTGCTGCCCTTCTATTCCTAGTCCCCTGAGCCGGTCCCCCCTGTGCCTGTGAAGAATCTGGTACCAGGAGTGCCGGCTCTGGAGGAGGTACCTCCTGTGGAGGAGGTGGATAAGGAGGGGGAGGACGAATTAGATCATCTTCTGTGCTGCCCTGTAAGACAGGGTACAGTGGCGGTACTGATGGTTTGGTTTCAGGTTTGGGCGCTTTCTGGGTTGTTGTTTTCCGTTCTGCAGCCATCAGCACCTCAGTTTGCTGTAAAGGAAGAAAAGATTTGACCCAAGGAGGGGGGTTATTAACTAAATCTCCCCAGACCACTATGATATTTGATCCAAGTGTCCCATACATGGTTGAAGAATAATTTTCTCAACCGCGTTAATGACAGCAGGATCAAAGGTCCCTCCAAGGGCCATCCCACATTGAAAGTGGGCCATTCAGACCTGCAGAAAGTAGTTAGTTTATCCTTCCTGACAACAACAGAGACGTTATGGGCTCGAGCCTTAACCTCTCCAAAACGTTCAAGAACCACGTCCAGGGGTGTAGAGGGAGTCTGTCCCATTGTGTCTATCTCAGTCACAGAGAAATAGACAACTAAAGACAAAACAGAGAGCCAGAAAGACACACAGAAGGCCAAGTAGCAAATTCCCTCGCTCGTGTGGAAGAAAAACTGAAAGTAGGATAGCGGCGAACTGCCATGCAGCAGGAGCTACCCGCCTTCTCCTTTCAGAAAAATCAACAGAGTCCGGGGCCCTCCATCCCCTCTGCTGGGTCTGCAACGTCTTCCAGACCTCTGTGGTCATGGTCATCCAGCGCGTCCACTCCAACCTCTCCTGACCACACTGTTCACAAGTTTGCCTCGAGGCTCAAAACAAATGTTGGGACAGACACAGACAGGTACAACTAGAAACACACTTACTGGCTGGGGAGGAACCCTTGGGTTTGTGGGTCCTGGGGGTCTTGGGGTTCCCAGCCAATCCACCAAGATGTTGTGCCCAGTTCGTGAGACCCTAAAGACCACCAAGGAGCCGACCGATGCAAATACACAAGGGTTCTTTTATTGTTGCAAGCTTAAGCTTGGGTCCACTCTGTCACCGACTCAGCGGATCTCAGATGTGAGACCTCTTCCTTTGGGAGACAGAGGTTTTTATAGGTTTATTTCAACAAGTTCAGCAAGTAGGGGAGTAGGGGGGTCTCCAGCCTGGCAAGCATCTGATTGGTTGTAGCCCAAACCATAACTGCTGGCTTCAGGAAATCTGAAAAGACATCTGGACTTTTAGTACTTTCCTGTCCCTGGTTAATTGACCGTTGGTGGGGGAGTTGTTCTCTATCCGTTCCAAGTATTGTGGTTTTTCTTGGAACAGGGCTCAGGGCTGGGTCAGTCCCATGGAGGTTTTATCCAAGATGGAGTCACTCAGGTCTCTCATCTTCATATATACATGGGCACACTTTCATGTGTGGGTGCATGTGCATATATGTATGCTTGTGCATGGAGGCCAAAGGTTGACGGGGTGTCTTCCTAATAATTCTGCACTTTAAACATTGAAGCAGGGTCTCTCACTTGAACCCTGAGCTCACTGAGTTAGCTAGTGTATCTAGCCATCTTGCTTGGGGAATCCCTGTCTCTGGCTCCCTTGGGCTTGTGATTACCACTCCCTTGAGATGGCATTTATAAGGGTGCTGGAGTTTGAATGTTGGTCCTTGTGCACTAAACACTCTACCCACTGAGCCGTCTCCCCAGTCCCCGCAGCATCCCCAAGACTATAAAACCAGATGTGATCCTGAATGCTTGTGATCCCAGCACTTGAGAGATGGACACATAAGAATGAGGTTCAAGGTCATCCTTGGCTATCATAGCCAGTTACTTCAAGAGCAGCCTGGGCTACATGAGAGAAGGGGTGGGGAGAGAGGGAGAAGTAGAGTCACCTCCTGAGGGCTCATTGCCTCTTCTAAAGTAGATCCTCCCGTGTCTGCTCTTCATAGATAAACTGTTCCTGCACTAAGAAAGTCAGCAAAGACATGTTTGCTTTCTGCTCCCAGCTCGGAGATGGTGCTTGTTAGTATTCTGAGCTTGATAAGTATTCTGAGTAAGCAAGAAGGCAGTCTCTGAAAAGCCATGCATTTTCTTTTATCACAATAGTACCATGGGACAGGCACTGTCATCCTCCCAACTCTCAGTCACAGACACTCACTGCCAGTTCCCAAACTTAGCTGTAAACAAGACACACTTGGGGATCTTCAAGTCTTCCAAAGCCCAGGCCAAGATGCAGACCCATAGACATAGCCTTTGGAAGGGCTCCCAGCACTGATGTCTGTGAAGCGCCCCCCCCACCCGAAGATTCCAGTGTATACCTGAGTGTGGGTATTAGGGCACGGAGGCGCTGAGGTTGAGTGGCTTGCCTGCCCACCCACAGTTCCTGTAAGTAGCAAAATTAGTATTCTGCAAACTGGGTCTGCAGTCCCAAATGCACAGTCTCTTGACCAGGACACCAGGTTGGCTTCCTGATTGCTTTCTGCCCACAGGGAGCCATGTCCTCAGTCCCTCAGCCTATCTTGCATGGATCTGCCTGCCTGCCTGACCCAGACTTGTGTGTCTCCTGCTGCAGGCTGGACTTGGGAGTTGATGACTGCCCCTTTCTTGAGCAGGTAGTCAATGCAGGAGAGGACCTCTGACTTGTTGCCCCTGTGGATGAGGAGGTGCATGGGGGGTTGTTTTCCGTGGGCAGATCCACAGGAAACTTGCACTCCTCTATCAAGAGCTGAATGCATGAAAGATTGCCCTTTTGGGCTGCCAAGTGGATGGCAGTGAAGCCCTGTGGGTGGAGAGTGGGGAGGGGATGATTGAACCCACAATTCAGTCAGTCTTGGGGTTGCCCTCCCTGTTCCCTGTGCCCTTGGAGGCGCTCATAGTCCTTTTTGTTGTGTGCTCATTCTCAACCTCCCTGCCTCCAAACCTAATATTAGGAGAGAGAATTAGCACCACAGTTGTAGAAAAAGGACACCTCGCACACCACATCGATAGATCTTCATGGGGGGGGGCTCTCTATGAGGAACACTTGGTTGGGTGTTGGGGACTCTCAGTCCCTGCCTCCAGGCTTGTTTTACCTTGTCGTCCACAGCGATGTCCTTGCACTCAGTATTCAGACAGAACCGAAGCCAATCCACATTGCCCACCGATGCTGCAAATATCTCAGAGTAACTCGCAATGGGCTTGTGGTCCCAGAACTCCGAAGGGCTAGAGTTGGCGGGGCGGAGGTGAAGAGAGAGCTGCGGACCACGGAGGTGACCCTGGTGCTCCCTGCCCCATCTTCTCCCTCCTGAGCCCTGGCCCACCTGAGTTGTGAAGACTGGTTCGCTCCCTGCTGGCTTCGAAAGCTCAGCCTGCTGCACGCAGTGGGGTATAGTGGGCTGCTCTTCAAGTTTCCACGCGTCTCCCAATTCCAAGGTCCCTGTCCTGCGCCATGGCCTGGACGTGAGAGGATTGGAACTCCGGCCCGGAGCCCAGGATCGCGAGGGGTGGCGCAGGTGACCTGGCCTGGTTTACCGGGCTGCGCCTCCATGGTTAGCGGCCAGGATCCTGCTAGCCCGGCCCACCCAAGGGAAGGAGCCCATGCCTCTGACCCACCTCTCTGGAAGCTCTGCACCCACTGTGCGCACCCGACACTCAGCCTCTGCTCCAATCACATGCGGAGGAAACAGAAAGTCCTGTGCGGAAATGGTGGGTCATCATTTCTGCTCATGAAAAGCAGGACCCAGTGCTACATGCACACTCAACAGGCTAGTATTTAAGGTTGCCTTATGAACTCGCTCCCCCTGCCATTCCACACACCGAATTATGACATCCCCACAGCCTAGCATAATGGACAGCTGTCACTTCACACTGGGCCCAAAGCAAAATGGTTCCACTCTGGTTCTTTCCTGGGATGGATTCCTGGAAGTAGAATTATGGGGTGAGCCTGACTCCGTGGGGCCCTCCTGTTATACCAGCATGCAGGAGCTGAGGCAGGAGGGAAAGGATTACAGTGTAGCCTGGACTACTTAGCCAAATATTGTCTCAAAATTAAGTGCCAGGCATGATGGGTCAAGCCTGCAGTCTTGCACTCCAGAGTCAGAGGCAGGAGAAGCATTGCAAGTTCCAGGTCAGTTTGGTTTACATAGCAAGTTCCAGGCCAGCTAAGGCTGCACAGACAAGTGGGTCTCAAGTATTTTTTTTTACAAAAATAAAAAGAGGAACTGGAAAGATGATTGTTTGGTAAAGTGCCTGCTATGCAAACCTGAAGACCTAAGTTTGATTCCCAGCACCCACATTAAAAAAAAAAAAAGAGTGAACTCCTTGCTGGAGAGGTAGAGAGAGGAGGATCCCTGGGGTGTGCTGGTCAGCTAGTCTAGCCCATGGTTTTGAGGCCCTGTCTCAAAAATGCAGACAGTGATTGAGGAAGATACCAGGCACCAACCTCTGGTGTGCGCTTCCTGTATACACACACACACACACACACACACACACACACACACACTCCATGAAGGGGAGTGAATATGCCCTCTTCTGGCCTCTGGCATTGTACATATGTGGTGCCCTTACATGCAGGCAAAACACTCACACATAAAAAATAAAGTTTTTAAATATTTATCATCTATTTTGGCTTTTGGAGCAGGGTCTTATCTAGCCAAGGCTGGCCTCAAACTTTTGATTCTCCTGCCTCTGACTCATATATTACAGTCTTTAAAATTTTTATTTTACTAAAAAATACTGTTTTTATTTTACGTGTATGAGTGTATTCCCTGCATCTACGTAAGGGCACCTGTGTCTTGCAATGCCCACCGAGGTCAGAAGAGGGTGTTGGATCCCCTGGTACTGGAATTACAGATGGTTGTTAGCCATCATGTGGGTGCTAGGAACTGAACCTGTTAAGAGCAGCCAGTGCTCTTATCTGCCAAGCCGTCTCTCCAGCCCTGTCATATCTTACAGTCTTTAAAAAAATTTTTATGTGTATGTGTGTGGGCCTAAGTGTATGTATGTGTGACACGTACATACAGGTGCCCACAGAGGGCAGAAGAGGGTGTGAAACACTTGGAAATGGAGTTACAGGCAGTTGTGAGCTGCCTGATATGGGTGTTTAGAACTGAGCTTGGGTCCTCTGCAAGAGCATCACATGTTCTTAACCCCCAAGCCATCTCTCCAGCCCTATGTCTTACAACCTTTATGCCATGTTAGCATCACTCTGGGGGGAAAAAGATCAACACAAAACACTTAGACCATCTGATTCAGATTAATTGACCTGGTGTGGTATTGGTATTCAATAAAATCCCCTAAGTGATTTTCACATGCAGCTAGGGTTGAAAACTGCTGTAAGTTATTCCTGCCCTTGTCTTCTTTCTGAGCAAGAGTCTTCCTGAAGAAGGAGGGTCACCAGAGTGGGGTGGGAGGATAGGGGAGCTGGGCAGAGGCCTCGTAAGGGAGAATGCCTCTCATTGTACACCCCTCATTGTATATCCTTTGGCCAGAGCCATGCAGCTAGGCAGATGGCCTGATAGAACAATAGACATTGGGCCAGAGGAAGGGAAGACAGCAAAAAATACCTGAGAAAGATGGGAATTCCACTAGGAGGGAAGGGTGCGGCTCCTAGAAATTACTTTTATGGCTCAAAACAAGGCAGATGGTGGCTGGGTGAGGAGGCAGTGCTCACAGACCCTAAAGACATGAGGTTGCCAGCATCTCCCCATAATCCTTCAGCCCTCTAGGGTCCTTCTGAAGCTTAAGATGGTTTGGATTGGGTTTCTGTCACTTTCAGTAGAGGCCTAGCTAATAAAAGGCTCTCAGGGTTAAATCCTCCATCTGGTAAAATTATTGGGACCAGTGTCTGATGACCCCTGAAAGAAGCTGTGGGCTGGGGCACTGTAACATCCCAGGGGACATTGAGACTCATATCTTCACTGTTGGGGATAGGAGCAAGTAAGTGAGACTGAGGAAATATGCTTGTTTGGTGGGGAGCATACCTGATGAGACTAGGGATGGGGGCTGATCTTTACTTTCTCTATGTGACCTGGCATGTGCTCATTGGAGGATGGTAGTAGGGCAGGGGCGGAAAGTGAATGGTGCCAGCAGTAGGGGTGCTCTCATGGGGTCTGAATTCTGGCTGTGATGGTAATAGGTATGCAACAGGGCTTCCAGGTCAGCACTCTGGGTGCCAAGGGAGCTAATGCTGCCTCTTTGGGGTGGGCATCCTATTTGGGAAAAGAGAAAAACCTTGACAGGCAGGTTCTAACAGGTGGGAGAGGGACTATCTGCCTCTTGAGACCAGATCTGGAGGAAGACAGGTATCTGGGATGTTTGCAACCTTGAAGGGAGGTCTGACCAGGGCTGGACCACTGGAGAGGGGCCATGTTCCAGAAAGCAAGTTTCCCCTATCTGCCTTACCCAGCATTTCATTATTTGCCCACTTTGAACAGGTTCTTCCCCAGAGCCGTTCCCAAGAATGGGCAAAGGCTTGCTGGGCAGACGTCTTCTCTGTTTTACTGGTGTCTCCAGATAAGCAGTTTCCATGAGGCTGGCAGATTCAGAAGGCTACTTAATTGGACTAGCCTGGGTATCAAGACAGTCCAAATGATCCCAGAAAGCACCAGAATGAAATGCTGGGGTCTGGGGAGATGGCTCAGTTGATTAAGTGCTTGCCACATAATCACAAGGACTTAAGTTCAGAACCTCAGAGCCCATGTATAAAGTGAGGCATGGTAGCCTTCAATCCTGGCACTGAGGAGGTGGAGACAGGAGGATCCCTGAGACTTGCTGACCTAGCCAAATTGGCAAGGGCCAGATTCAGTGACAGTTTGTCTCAAAAACTGGGATGGAGAGTGACGAAGATGATATCTGATGTAAATTCTGATGTGCTCTGAACCCCTGAGATGTATTGTATCAGATCTCTACTTCTGAAATAGAAACACAAAAGCTCTGCAGTTACAATCCTCAGAAACAACCCTAATAGAAGTTATTTTGAAAACCAGTGGATGAGCCAGTCATGACAGTGCCCACCTCCAGTCCCAGCATTGGGGAGGCAGAGGAAAGAAGATCCCAGCAACTTAGAGGCCAGTGTGATCTACATAGTGAGTTCCAAGTCATCCAGTGATACATAGTGAAAAACAAAAACAAGCAAATGGAAAACAAAAAGGGCTCTATCTTAAGGCATATAAAAATGAGGCAATAGTCACAAAAATCTAAACCTCAGGACAGCAGGAGTCTGTGACATCTGAGCCATGGCCCATTCCCACCCCATATCAGAGCAAAGGCAGGAGCTCCAAAAGGGTGAGCGTGGCCAAGAAGTGGGGCTTCCACTCTCCTGGACTCCAAAGTGATACGGCATTTTACTGGGAAAAGCAAGACACCATTGTACTCTTCTCCCTCCTTCCCCTTGCAAGCTCCATGTCACAGACTGGGGAGCGCAGTGGAAAAGCTGAGGTCCCTCTCTCCACCCAACCCTCAAGGGTAGGACAGCTATTCCTCCCAAGGCATGCCAGGGGAAAAGTCCTGGCTTCTGGTCACTTTGGGTCCAGGGTAGAGGTCCAAAAGCAAGATAGGTGGAGAGTCATGGCTTCTGGTCACTGGTCACTCTGGGCCCAGGGCAGAGGTCCCATCTTGGGAAAATTAAATTAGGGGGACTAGAAGCTACTGCCTCTGCCCAGAACCTGCTAAAAAAGCAGGGTGTCACTGAAAGAAGTGATCTCTCTCACACACAACAAAAGGTTGGGGGTCATGCCCAGTCAGTCTGTGGGATTGAGAGTTCCAGAGATCTCCACCAAAGGAAACTCTGATTTCTAAGTGTGGATACATTCAAGCCTAACTGTGTACCAAAAACACTGGAGATCTGGGTGGTAAGCAATAAAAAGAAGGTAATTGGCAAACTGGTTTACCAGAGGGAACCTAGGAGAGATAGCTTAGAAGAGCTCACATAGTTCAGGACATCAAAGACAGCTTTGAAAATGATATCTGCAGTTTATTCCCCTGAGACATCATGAAAAAATGGAGCAAGAGGCTGGAAATCAGTGGAGGTTAAAAGCTGGGTGTTACATGACCAGAGGCAGAGAGTTTAACACAGACATCAGGTAGAGATAGTCAACTAGGCTCCTACTTAAACCCCCACCTTCCCAGAGTGGCTGTGTACACGAAGGCCTCTTCCTGAAGCATTTACATCAAAGGAGGAGGGGAAAGACATCACTAACATAGCCCATCCTAATTACCGAACACAGAAACAAGACAAAGTCCCAGAGAGAGGACTGGCAAATCAGAATCTAGAGTTGCTAAAATACATTACTTGAAATATCCAGTTTTCGGTTAAAAAAAAGTGTGAGATGCACAAAGAAACAGGAAACCATAACTCAAAAATGAGAAATAAAAAGTTGGTCAACACAACTGTGCAAGAAGTGGCCCAGATACCAAACTTGACAGACTAGGGTTTCAAAGCTGTCCTTGGAAGTGTGTTCACTGAGCTAAAGGAAATTAAGACGTGAAAGGTAAGAAGAAAGTCTCATTGAACACAGTATGTTAATACAGAGGCATTATTTAAAGAGGACCAAGTGAACATTCTGGAATTGAAAATTACAATGAAAAATTGTGCAGGGGATCACTGGCAAATGTGCACTTGTAGAGGAAAGAATCAGCAAACTATGGGACTGGAGCGATGACTCAGTGAGTAAAGCATTTGCTACACAAGTGTGAGAACCTGAGTTTGGGCCCTCAGAACTCATATAAAGCCTGACAGTAATCGGTATCCCAGCACATCTGTAATCCCAGTACTCCCATTGAAAGATAGTAGGCAGAGACAGGAGAATCCTCGAAGCTTAGGGTCAGCTAAGTACCACAATGAGTCACCATTTAGCACTCACTACTACTCTGCAATAAAAGATATTAACAAGGACTGCTGATGATGCGGGGGACCTGGAGCCCTTACAGTTTACTAATAGGAATGTAAAATGGTGTCACTGTTTTGGAAGTAGTCTGCCAGTTCCTCAAAAAGTTAAATTACCACCAGGACCAGCAATTTCCGCCAAGAGATGAGCATACATGTTCAATCCACATAAGACTTGTACATGAATGTTCATAGCAGCAATATCTATAGAAGAAAAAAAACTAAAAACAAAAGAAACAATTCCCACATCCATAAACCAATGGGTAAAAAGTGGTATATTCACACTGTGGATTATTATTTGGTAATAAAAAGAAATGAAGCACTGATATGTTTCACTGTGACCGAACCTTGAAAATACTAAGTGAAAGAAGCCAGGCCCAGAAGACCACTATTGTAAAATTCCATTTATATGAGGTCCCCAGATGAGGCAAATTCCTAGGGGCAGAAACAGACCAGTGCTTCTCAGGCTTGGGTATGGGAGAATGGGGAAAGGAGGGTGGGTTGTGGCTAGCAATACATTGTTTCTTTTGGGGCTAACAAAAATGTTCTAAAATTGATTGTGGCTGTGATATGTGAAAGACTATTAAATCGTGATTATAAATGGATCATGTGGTATGTGAATTATGTCTCTCAAATTAGTAACAACTTTATGTCCTTTGGACCACCAAAGCTATCCTTAAGATGGCAGTGAAGTGTCTCAGGATGGACTTTTATTTTTAAGGTCTTTTTCAGTGCCTAGAAATGAAACTCATCTCTTTGCTGAAGCACCACTCTTCATAACCACCCTTCTCCTCCTTTATTACATTGTTGGTGCATGTGTGGTGTGTGGTGTGTGTGTGTGTGTGTGTGTGTGTGTGTGTGTGTGTTGGCACAAGTCAGTTCTCTCCTTCCACCACGTGGGTTCCAAGGATCAAACTCAGATCATCAGTCTTTGGGGTAAGTGCCTTTCACTGCTGAGTCATGAAAGCCCAGCACCCTTGTCCTTTAAGAAGCATTCATGATTCCTTCAAAGAGCACCAGACATCCTAGGATCCAGAAAACTCTTCACCTGAGTTTTATTTATTTATTTATTATTTATATTTGTTTGTTTGCTTGTTTGTGTGTGGGGTTCCCAGTGTGTGGTGGATAGTGGACAATTTATAGGGAATTAGCACTCTTCTTCCACCATATGGGTTCTGGGGATGGAACTCGGGGGATTGGTTAGGCTTGGTAGCAGGTACCTTTATCTACTGACCCATCTCCTGACCCTTCACTCACTTTTTAACTAGGGCTCCTTTCTCAGTCTTCTGCACCCCCTCCTTCTCACATCGTATGTTTCTGAGATTTCTCCTTTCTGTGTGCAGCAAACCAGATTCTGCCCCAGCATCTCCCAGGCAGAGTTGATGAAAGTTTGTGGCCATGGCTGTCCCTCTTCCCATTACCCCTGAGCTCAAGTTCCATATTTATGTATACTAGGGAAGCACTGTACCGCTGGGCTATAGCCCTATTGTCATTTTATTTTTGAGACATGTAGCCCAGGCTGGTCTTAAACTCTATGTAGTTGATAATGATCCTCCTGTGTTCACCTCACAAGTGCTGGAATTACAGGTTTGAGCCACCACCCCTGGGTTATGTGGTGCTGGATCAGATCCAGGGCTTCCTGCCTGCTAGTGCAAGCACTCCATTAACTGAGCCACACCAGCCCTTGCTCTCAGCTTAACAACTCTGAATAAGTCCCTGAGAGAATTCTATTGTCAACTGCTAAGGAACTAATTAGGCCAATTTCTTCTTTTAATATTTTAACAAACCCCATGTGTCCAGCACCTGCCCTGTCAACAACTGGTAAACTTGTCAATCTTGTTTTTACTGGAAATAAATTAATAAATTCAGTTGCGTTTCCCCCCCTCTCAGTTATTTCTTTGGAGTTGGAACCTTTAAAATAAAAATACAGGGCTGGGGTGGAATTCAGTAGTGGAGTGCCTGCTTAATATGCTGAAGACCCTTGCTTCCCTCCCCAGCACCCCCTTCAAAAAATGAAAGCTCCCCACCCCCTAAAATAAGATGCTCCTGTCAGAGTAGGGCGACAGGAGGGGCTGGACATCCATCTGCCCTAGAGCGCAGTGTCCGACACGGTGTCCGACGGCGCCCCCTCGCGGGAGTAGAACTCGTCGGTCACGCTCTGAGGGATGCGCTTCAGCATCTCCTTGGGGAAGATGCGCAGCAGTTTCCAGCCCAGGTCCAGGGACTCGAACACAGAGCGGTTCTCATAGGGGCCTGAGGACAGCACAGGAAAGTGAGGGCCCCGCGTCTGGATCGGGGAGGGCCTGGCGGTCCCAGCCTCGCTCCCCAGCACCTCACCCTGGGTGATGAAATTCTTCTCGAACTTCTGCAGGAACTCCAGGTACAGCAGATCCTCGGAGGTGAGCGCCTCCTCCCCGACCACTGCCTTCATGGCCTGCACGTCCTTCCCGATGGCGTAGCAGGCATACTGCGGGAGGGCAGTGCCGGCTCACCACCCCAGCCCCTGCAGGCTGGGGACCCCTTGGTTGGGGCGGGGGTAGTTTTGCCGGGGGTAGTTTTGCCGGCCCAGGTGGGGCTCAGACTTCCTTCTAAACCCAGGTTATTCGCCCCCCTCTGCCCCGCTTCTTACCAACTGGTTGGAGACATCTCCGTGGTCCTTTCTGGTCATACCCTCACCGATTGCCGACTTCATAAGCCGCGACAGGGAAGGGAGTACATTGATGGGGGGGTAGACCTGGGGGACAGAAGGGAGTGGCCAGGCTCACCTGCTCATCCTACAGAGGAGTGACCATACCCACCTCCTTTATTCCCCACAGACTCTAGACCTTGGGTGCTCAGGGATCTACACAAGTGGCCCCATGAAGGAAGCTGGAGCTGAGGGACATGAGGTGACATTTAATAATGAAACACTCAATATTTCAAAATATTTTTTTGTTTGGACAAGAAACTGAAGCTTAATACCCCCCCGGGGTGTGTGTGTGTGTGTGTGTGTGTGTGAGAGAGAGAGAGAGAGAGAGAGAGAGAGAGAGAGAGAGAGAGAGAGAGAGAGAGAGAGAGAGAGAGAGAGAGAGAGAGAGAGAGAGAGAGAGAGAGAGAGAGAGAGAGAGAGAGAGAGAGAGAGAGAGAGAGATTTGTTTTGAGACAGGTTATCAAGTAGCTCAGGCTATCTGGCTTTAAACTTTTGCTGTAACTGAGGATGCCTTGAACTTCTGATCCTCCCGCTGCTACCTCCCTATTGCTAGGATTTCAGGCATAGATCACCATGCCTGGTTTATACAATGCTGGCTTTGCGCATGCTAGGCAGGCTCTATACCAACTAAGCTACATCTCTAGCCCTGTTACCCGTATTTCGTGCTCACCAACGCAAATAACTAGAATGGGAAGAGAAATGGTGTGAATTTAGCGTTTTCCAAATGCTTTCTATATGCTAATTTATGCTAATTAATTTATCCTCATTACATTGTTCTGATATATATTATCAGCTCATAGAAGAAACTTGGACTCGCAGAGTTGGGATCTTTTTCTCAAGGTCCCACAGCCAGCTGGGCTAGCTGTTAGCCAGGCTGTGAAGCACAGGCTTTCCAGTGTGTATCTCCTGTTTGGAGTGACCTTGGGCTGGCCCCTCCCTGTTCATACACATGGGTGACACACACTTGTTCTTCAGTGTCTTGGGAGCAAAGGACAGATATGGGGAGAAAGGAAGCAGGCACAGGGAGGGAGCAGTACCTGCCGGTTGTGCAGTTGTCTGTCTACATAGATCTGCCCCTCTGTGATGAAGCCAGTCAGATCTGGGATAGGGTGAGTAATGTCTGCAAGAAAATGCCCTAGCCTCAGTGTGTGGGTGTGGGTGGGTGGGGGTCCTCACCCACTTAGGGGCTCATAAATCTGTATTTATCATGGGGGTGATGGGGTGGCAAGTGGGAAAGGAAGACTGGCTCTGGAGGGCAGAGGCTGCTAGAGGCTGCTGGAGGCTACCGTCATTGGGCATGGTGAGGATGGGGATCTGCGTGATGGAGCCACTTCGGCCCTCCACACGCCCTGCTCGCTCATAGATGGTGGCCAAGTCTGTGTACATGTATCCAGGGAAACCACGGCGCCCTGGCACTTCCTCTCTGGCAGCTGAGACCTGTAATAACCAGTGGTATGACAGGAGGTGAGAGGCTGGACTCAGGAAGGGGGTGTGTTGGACTCGGGACAGGCAAGGAATGGCCAGGCTGAGACTCACTGAGGGGCAGACCCAGATGGGTCAGTTCTCTTCTTTACAGGGTAACCCCTTGGAATGTGAGCCCAGGGGAGAGACAGGGTAAGGGTGGTATGAATCTATTTGTCAGCCAGCTCACCTCCCGCAAGGCCTCTGCATAGGAGCTCATGTCAGTCAGTATGACCAGCACATGCTTCTCACACTGGTAGGCAAGGAACTCTGCTGTGGTCAGTGCCAGGCGTGGAGTGATGATCCGCTCAATGCTGGAGGCCAGGCATGGTGGTGTTCAGAGGGGCTAGAGGCCAAGGGTTAGGTCCCACAAAGCCCGGGGGCTGAGTGCAGGGTCAGCTGGGAAGATGGTTTATGCATGGCGGCAGGGGAATAGATAAGATGAGCCCCTGCCTGGGCCCTCCAGTCAAAGAATTGGTTTCCAGGCGTGACACTCTCCAGCAATGCTGATGTCCCCTTGTTCATTGTCCAAGGTGGACAGAAAACGCCTCAGTCCTACTTCAGGCTCTCCTGAGCATCCCTCTTTGGCTTTGGCTACTCTCAGTCCCAGAATTCTGAGCCTGTGGGTCTTCCCTTAGTCATGTCATCTCAGCTTCCAGAATTCTGTTACTTAGTTTTGGGGTTCCCTTAATTATTAGAAGTTTTATTTCATTCATGTGAACCCTGGATTAAATCCCATCTTCTGAAGTTTCAAAATAGAAGTTTTCCTGAATATATGTCCAGGACAGTAGTCTCTTCAGTGATAACATTTTGGAGGTGATCCAGGGATGAGGTCAGCCTGACTAGGTGCTGGGAAAGCAGAGGGGCTACAGGTGGCAGGTGGGGTCCCAGTCTGGCTCCCTGCATCTCTCGATATGCCCCAGGACTCAGTTTCTCCTTCTGCACAGCCAGGAGTTGTTCTCCCAGCTGTGGCCCATTCATGTAGTTCTGGGATGTCCTGAACCTTAGTACCCTGGGGTCTAGGAAAGGGGCACCCCCCTCCAAGGGCAGTCTGAGCATAGGAAGGACTCACGTCGGGTCATTGGCCAAGTTCAGGAAGAGGCAGACATTCCCCATGGTTCCATTCTGCTCGAAGTCAGACTTGAAGAACCTGGCTGTCTCCATGTTCACCTAGACATGCAGCAGGGAGGGCTACAGGCAGGGACCTTGGGCCAAGAGTAGAACCTGGTTCCTCCTAGCTTACCTCAGCAAAGCTTGGGAACTGACCAGGCTAACAGATGCTGGGTTCAGTCATCTGGGTGGCCCTGGGGCTCAAGGAGACCTCATTAGGTCACCCAGAGAACTCAGCCTTCTTCAGCTCTTCCTGCCTGTCCCTCCCTTGGTCAGCTGCTGCCCTGCTCAACTCTCCCCACCCTTGTCTTCTCCTTGAGCCTCTAAAGACTCCTAGTATGCCCTTCAAGAAGTTGTACTATTTCTGCAGGTCCCCTGAGATCTTCCAGGCCAATTTCTATCCATCCTATAGTGCTGTGGCCTTGGGTTATCTCAAGGAACACCTTGACATTGCTCCTGAGCCCATCCCCACCCTTTTTGTCATGCTCTGGTCTCTGCCACAAGACTGGTCTGGATTCTGATGACTTCTCAAGACACAGGACTGAGCCTCTACCATCAGATCATGTTGTGCTAGGAGCCAAGCCAGGCAGAGGTTGCTTCTCATAGCTTCCAGAACTTGCCACCAGTTTTCCTTACCCCCATGGCTGCAAAAACAATAGCAAAGTTGTCCTCGTGGTAATCCATCACGGCCTTGGATTTCTTCACCAGCCCAGCCTGGCGGCAGATCTGGGCAGCAATCTGAGACAGGAAGGGTCAGGAGGGAGGCTATGAGGACCAGAGCCCCATACCTGCCCTGCTGGGCACCACTGAGGAAGATGAACGGTTAGTTCATCTTCTGCCAAGACCTTTGGTGGGGGTGGGGGTAGTCCAAGGCCAGAGGACTGAGGAGCTACCCTGGATTCTACAGTCTTTCTTGGGGTGGGTATGGTCTGTTGTGTGGCTACCAAGGGGCTGAAGGAGCCTGTCACAAAGAGCAGGGCAGAGTCCCAAAGACCAGTAGTCTTGGAGTGGGTTTGGGTAGCTTAGCTTAGGGCAGTTGGACTTCTCAGAGCCTGCCAGGGCCATGAGGGTCTAAAGTATGTGTGACTACAAGACACCTATACTGAACCAAGATATGTTGGGGAGGGAGACATTTGAGGGAGAACTGGTATAATCAGGAGTGCGGGGGGGAGGAATGCCTAGAAAGATTTTCACACCAGCCCCTCTGAGGGACCTGGTGGTAGTGGTCAGGTGAACAACACTATTACAAGGACTGGCTGGGACAGGCTGAAGCTCAGATGAGCAGGGCTTCCACACTGGGGTCTAATTGGGATTTCTGGAGCCAGCAAGGGCTCCATTCACTAGGGGCAGCTTGAAGTCCTTCCCAGTGGCAACAACAAGACACAGATGGGTTTCATGCAGCCCTGTTCCTCAACTGCCAGGGGACACATGGCATGGTGGATACTGATGACTCTACTTCCTGCTTGGCATGAGTGCTCTGTCCTGGGCTACCAGGACAGCTCTTTGGTCATGCATCCTTTACCTCATTGTGGGGAAGCCCAGCTGCTGAGAAGATGGGGATCTTCTGGCCACGGGCAATGCTGTTCATGACGTCGATGGGGGAGATACCTGTCTGGATCATCTCTTCAGGGTAGATGCGGTCATGGGGGTTGATGGGCTGACCTGGGAGGGGTGACCATGGAGGCAGGCTTAGGCTCCAGCCATTCCTGCCCCCACCCTGCCATCCCCTCTGCCAAGTAGCGTGTTCCATAGCCCTTTCTGTGACAGTGGAACCCTGCTCTAAGTGTTCATGCAGTGCCCCCAGGCACCTATGGTTTTTGCGTATCTGAGATGCAATTTTAAAATGAAATTTGTGGGCCAGTGGGATGACTCAGTGGATAAAGGGACTTGCTGTAAAGCCTGATGACTGGAGTTTGATTCCCAGGACCCAAATAATAGAAGGAAAGAACTTAGTCTCAAAAGTTGTCCTCTGACCTCCAAATACTCACCATGGCATGCATACACACACAGATAAATGAATGTAATTTAAAAGTTTATAAATATGAAATGTCCTTTCACCTGGAAGCAGGTGGTAGAAAGTCAGGTCCAGGACCTCTTGGGCATGACAGACACAGGCACCCAGGCACCTGTGTGGGGTTTGGAGGACCTGTGGGTGGCTCAGAGATCTAGTGTGTGAGCAATGTATCCTCTGTCCTCTGCTTCTAGCTTGCCATGCGGCCTTAAGCCAGGGGTTTCTGCAGGCCTCCATTGCTCCCTCAGAACCCTGAAGAGCAGTTGGGAGAGTCAGAAAAGTGTCCTGAAGAATTGCTGAGAGCCTGAGAGGGCCTCTGTCTGCTGCTCTGACCCTCTCAGCCCAGCTTTCAGGACAGAGCATGAGAAACTGGAGGCCACAAAGGGATGGTAGGAGATACTGTGCTGAGGGCAGTGTTGGGGTTCATGGCAGATCTGAAGACAGAGGGGCCTTTGCTGATCTGTCTGTCTAAGGAATCTTGGGTCCAGCATTGCTGGGCTACTCTGCTCAGGGCCTAGGCAGGACTTCAAAGAGCTGGTGGCAGAAATAATGACTGGAATGGAAAAGTGCTGGAACTATGTCCTCAAAGCCACCCAAGAGCCTTGGCATTCTCACCATTGATGTCCAGAAAGTCCTCTGCCATGACCACTGGCCCTTTATCGATGGGTTTGCCAGAGCCGTTGAAAACCCGACCTGAGAGCAAGAAGGTGCTCAGAGCTCCCAGCTCCACATCCCCACCCCACCCCCAGCATTCCATAATCTCCTACTCCCTGCCTCCTCAACCTCCAGCCATCCCCAATTGCATCCCGGATTGATGTCTCTTGGGGAGGTCTTCCTTCCTCTCCTGAAGGTCTTTACAGGCGAGGCTACTGGGGGTTACCCTGTCCATTGCCCTGGGTTCAAGTTGATGGGTCTAGTCAGGGGGATTCCAGGGTGGAAAGGGAAAGAGAATCAGGCTAGGTAAGGCAGGGCTTAGCAGTGCCTTTCAGCCTAGCCCCAGGTAGGTGGATTCCTGCTGTACCTGGCAGACAGTCTGCCTCCTTCTTTACTGAGCACCTGCTATATGTTAGTCCCTGCACTGGGGTTGGGAACCAGACAAGATGCAACCTCTGGCCTCAGAAGACATAGATGTGCACCCATGTGTATAGGCAATGAAGAACTTACTCAGAGACATCTGGCCAGGAGGGCAGAGGACCACCCACCCTGACACCCCACCCTCACCTAGCATGTCCTCTGAAACGGGAGTCCGCAAGATGTCTCCTGTGAATTCACACGTGGTCTTCTGGGCATCGATTCCTGAGGTCCCTTCAAATACCTGTGGGCCAGATATAGTTGCTCAGAGGGGCTTGCTAGACAGAATGGGTTTTCCCTAGGAGTCATACTGCTCAGCTTTGAGCAGGGTGTTCTCTGGGAAACAAGTCATTCCTGCTTCCAGGCCTTGTAAGGTAGAATGGGAACTGTGAGTTCATTCATTGCCCAGGTGCCAGGTGGAAGCTTGGTGCCAGGTAACATCTCATTGGCAAGCTTACCTGAACGATGGCTTTGGTCCCCGAAACCTCAAGTACTTGCCCGCTCCTCTGAGTCCCATCAGGGAGGGTGAAGTTGACAATCTCAGCATACTGGGCAAACTGTCAAGGAGGAAAGCCACCAGGGTGAAGCCACCTTCCCATTCCTCTTCCTTCCAGGCTTCCCTCTTGTACCCAGACATGGGGAAATGAACTTGAGAGGCTGAAAAGTGAATTCTATTTGGGAGGGAGTATCCTTGAATGGAGCTGGGAATTTAGTTTGAACAGGTTAGAAGCGAAGCTCCATTACTCAGTGAGACCTTGTGGCAACCACTGAATGACTTGCACAATTTGTTGAGTTCTTAAATCCTTAATTCATGAGCCTTAGTTTTCTCATCTTTAAAGTGAGGATGCTGAGAATAAGCCCTATTTCAAGGGACTGCTGTGATGAGGGCCAATACAGGCGCCTGGCGCCAGGTGGAAGCTCGACAGCAGAGTGGCTGTTGTGGCCACCAAGGCCTCACAGGCACTAAGGAGGAACACACTTGCCAAGTTTCTTTCTGCTCAGACACCAGAAGAAAGATGTCCTGTTTTCCAGGTGTCCCCTTGAACCAGTGGCAATTCATTCCTAGCTATAGAGCTGGGGTTGATGTCTATGTAATGAATGGGGGAAGGGGAAGGGAGGAATTTTTTCAAAGTCAGGTTAATTACCAAAATACATAAAGAATTCCTACAATGAAAGGGATTTGATTATGAGCTAGAGAGATGGATCAGCAGTTAAGAACACTGGTTGTTCTTGAAGACGTGAGTTTGAATCCCAGCACCCACATGGTAGCTAACAACTGTCTACAACTCCAGGGGATCTGATGCTCTCTTGTGACCTCTGCAGGCATTGCATGACATGGGTGCACTTACATATATGCAGGCAATACATGTGTGATGGTCTGAATGAAAATGTCTCCCACAGGCTCCAAGTATTTGGACATTTTGTCCCCAGATGATGGCACTGTTTTGGAAGGTTTTAGAAGGTGTGGCTACCCTGAAGGAAGATGTCACTGGGCATGAGCTTAGAGAGTTCTTAAGCCTTGCAAGATCTCCAGTTGCACTCTTGCTTCCTGTGCCTGCATGATGATGTGAGAGCTTAGCTTCTGCTGCCCCTGCTCCAGCCACCTCCAGCCACCATGCCTCCCTGCCATGACGGACTGTAATTCCCCTGGAACTGTAAGCTCAGATAAACTCTTCCTTCTACAAATTGCTTTGGTTAGTGCTTCTATCACAGCAAGAGAAACGTGACTAATACAACATGCATACACATAAAATAAAAATAATAAAATATCTTTAAAAAGAAAGGGATTTTATTAAAGCATTTCAATAGATATTTCTCTTTAAGATGCAGATGTGGCCAATTGTTGGGTAACAGGTGCTCACTGCAGTTCTCATTTGTCATCAGGGAAATGAACATCAAAACCTTGATGAGGCACCACTGCACATCTGCTAGGATGGTGGTAATCAAAAAGGCAGATAATGGGGCCAAAGAGATGGCTCAGCTGTTCAGAGTGTGTACTGTTCTTGCAGAGTACTGAGCTCAGCTCCCAATGCCTTATAATCCAGCTCCAGGGATCTGATGCCCCCTTCTGTCCTCTGCAGTCACCTGCATTCATGTGCACATACTCCCCCCATATGCACGCCCATAGTTAAAAATAAATCTTTTAGCTGGGCATGGTGGCACATGCCTTTAATCCCAGCACTTGGGAGGCAAAGGCAGGTGGATCTCTGTGAGTTCAAGGCCAGCCTGGTCTACTATGAGTTCCAGGACAGCTGGGGCTACAGGGAGGCCCTGTCTCAAAAAGACCAAAAAAAAAAAAATCATTTTTCAAAATTAAAAAAAAATTTCTTTTAAATAAATTGAGTGTTTGCCTACATGTATATAAGTGCATCCTTGTTGTACAATGCCTGCAGAGACTAAGTCACTGCAGAAGAGTCCCTAGAACTGAACCTGCATCCTCTGGGAGGGCAGCCAGTGCTCTTAACCACCGAGCCATCTCTCCAGTCTCAAAATAAATCCTTGAAAAAAAGACAGATGATAACAGATGCTGCCGAGGATGTGGAGAAATTGGAGCCCTCTTGCGCAGGTGAATATTCTATAAACCAGTGCAGCCATTTTGGAAAGCAGTCTGCAATTCCTCAAAAGGGTAAACATAGTTATCATCTGACCCGAGCAATTTCACTCCTAGGCTTTATCTGTCTGAAGAATGAGTATATAACCACATAAGACGTTGTTTATGAATGTTCATGGAAACATTATTCATAATAGCAAAAAAAGAAAAGAAAGGGCAACAGTGTCAGTGAGGTAGCTCAATGGGTAAAAGCACATGTGTAAAAGCCTGACAATTGAGTTGAATTCTGGATCCCACAAGATGGCAGGAGATAACCAACTCGCACAAGTTATCCTCACATGCTCAGTGGCACACATATCCTCCTACCCCTACCCACAAAATCAGTAAAAACTTTAAGAAATTGAAACAACTCAAATGACAATCAACTGATGAAGGAATAAGCAAAACATGGCATATTTAAAAGGCTGAATTTACTTTAAAAGAGTGAGGTTTAAGATGTGTGAGTTGTAATTGAATTCTTAAAATCCCATCAGGCTCTCCTGCAGGGCCACAGCAGCAGGTGAGAGGGCAGAGGTCTGTCCTAGGGAGCCCCAACCTTTGCTGGCTACACATGCCTAGGTGACCACAGAACCCCAGACTTTACTCATGTCCATGGGAGGCTGCAGACTTGGCAAAGGAAGCTGGGCTGGAAGAGCACACCTACTTACTTGCAGTCTTAGAGCTCTTCAGCCGCAAGACAGCTAAGTCTTGGGCCTGCAGTCTCAGCCAGAGACTGCAAAAAAACAGACACATAATTTAAAATAAAAATAAATAGGGCTAGAGAGATGGCTCAGCAGTTAAGAGCACTGACTGCTCTTGCAGCAGACCCAGGTTCGATTCCCAGCAACCACATGGCAGCTAACAACTGTCTGTAACTCCAGTTCCAAGGGAATCTGATGCTCTCTTCTGACCTCCGTAGGCATTATACAAAATGGGTGCACTTACATACATGCAGGCAATTATACTCATACACAAAAAATAAAAATAATAAATAAAATATTTCTTAATCTTGACATTTGAGAGATAGGGGCAGGTGGATCTGTGAGATTGAGGCCAGTCTGGTCTACATAGCAAGTTACAGGCCTGTTGGGACTACAGGGA